CAATTGGCAATGGTGTGCTTGTAGATATACGAAAATCATCACAAGCGAAGCGTCTGTAACGAAATTCTTGTTCCATATTCATCGCACACAAGAGTTGATTAACTAAAGATTGATAATCAGTACGAATACCACGTACTTTAGTGTCAGATGTCAAAGAAATAGTAGACAAAGACAATGTTGGACAAAGGATATAAATTGAATGAATATTTTGCACGTTTTCAATTGTTTCTATCAATGCCTCATTGGCTTCAATCAGTGAAGATAAGGTAATAATGAAAATAATTTTCATAGAAGTTCCTACCAGATCAGTTAGAAAGTCAACACACTCGTCCCAATCGTCATATGTTTGAAGACAATCATGAGGGAGAATAGTGCGCAGATGAAAGACTTTTTCATTGTCATTGATTTTTGGATTTAAAAACCAAATGATATAAGATAGTTCTGTCATGACTGTTTATAGTTGGATAAGATTTACTTGGAATATACGAACAGTGTAAATGTTAAATGATAAAAAATGCTGTTTGTGTTTGGAATATTTACTTCTATGAAACATAAAGAATGTAAAAGATTTTTATTTGACGCTGAAATAGCACTTCACTTGGAAATTTTATATTTTTTTCTCTTTTCTTTCTCGATTGCTAAACATCACGTGTTGTCAAAATAAAACTTGATCAAAAGAAAAAAAGGCAATTTATATGATTGAATTACATAGTTTTCGTCAGAAGAAGCAAATATACACAGAATTTTTGTGTTTCATCAGAATTCGTAACTATTCATTTTTGATAAGTTATTTCTGCAGTGACGAAAGAAAGAGTGGTTTCATGATGTTGACACACACATAGATAAGAACAGCATCATTAGCACAGTTACAGCACAACAAATAGACGGTCATAATGTAAAGTAAAATCTACATTAGAATGAAATCTCTCGGAATTTTGTCAATATATGTGTGTCTTCTGGTCGTATAAAAGTTTGTATTCAATTCTCTATTTCTGTACTATTTCCGAGTTCATTATCACATTGCAATTTTGTTTGAAGTGGAATATGAACTGCTGTCGGCAAGCGCCCAATGACTTGTCTTCCTGTGTTATTATTCGTTGTAGGCTGAATGCGATGCGTATCATTGTGCCAGTTGCATAAAAGCAATGANTCTCTTGCGATTTGTGAATACATAAAATCTGTTTCCTGCCTCTTCGAATCAGCATTGTTGTTTATCAGCATTAATGATGATTGACGCGTTGCAGTCGTGACAATTGGCAATGGTGTGCTTGTAGATATACGAAAATCATCACAAGCGAAGCGTCTGTAACGAAATTCTTGTTCCATATTCATCGCACACAAGAGTTGATTAACTAAAGATTGATAATCAGTGCGAATACCACGTACTTTAGTATCAGATGTCAACGAAATGGTAGACAAAGACAATGTAGGACAAAGAATATAAATTGAATGAATATTTTGCACGTTTTCAATTGTTTCTATCAATGCCTCATTGGCTTCAATCAGTGAAGATAAAGAAATAATGAAAATAATTTTCATAGAAGTTTCTGCCAGGTCAGTTAAAAAGTCAATACACTCGTCCCAATCGTCATATGTTTGAAGACAATCATGAGGGAGAATAGTGCGTAGATGAAAGACTTTTTCATTGTCATTGATTTTTGGATTTAATAACCAAATGATATAAGATAGTTCTGTCATGACTGTTTATAGTTCGATAAGCTTTACTTGGAATATATGAACACAGTGTAAATGTTGAATGATAAAAAATGCTGTTTGTGTTTGGAATATTTACTTCTATGAAACATAGAGAATGTAAAAGATTTTTATTTGACGCTGAAATAACACTTCACTTGGAAATTTTATATTTTTTTCTCTTTTCTTTTCTTTCTCGGTTGCTAAACATCACATGTTGTCCAAATTAAACTAGATCAAAAGAAAAAAAAGGCAATTTATATGATTGAATTACATAGTTATCGTCAGAATAAGAAAATATACACAGAACTTTGTGTTTCATCAGAATTCGTAACTATTCATTTTTGATAAGTTATTTCTACAGTGGCAAAGAAAGAGTGGTTTCATGATGTTGACACACACATAGATAAAAACAGCGTCATTAGCACAGTTACAGCACAACAAATAGACGGTCATAATGTAAAGTCATATTTACATTAGAATGAAATCTCTCGAAATTTTGTCAACATGTGTGTCTTCTGGTCGTATAAAAGTTTGTATTCAATTCTCTATTTCTGTACTATTTGCGAGTTCATTATCACGTTGCAATGTTGTTTGAAGTGGAATATGAACTGCTGTCGGCAAGCGCCCAATGACTTGTCTTCCTGTGTTATTATTCGTTGTAGGCTGAATGCGATGCGTATCATTGTGCCAGTTGCATAAAAGCAATGAACGCAATAGGCGCATTAATTCTTTACGAAAAGTTCGTGATGATAGTGTGTACAAATAGAATGAAATAGCTGGAAATAGCAGAATGATGACTTCAGCTATGAATCCGGAAAAGCGTTCGATAGCTAGACGTTCAATTGATTTATTCGAGAGATTGATGGTTACAGCAGTATATATATAGATAATCATTAAGGGTACCACTGTAATGAAGTACATAAGCACTTGGGCGAAGAGCATGGCTAACACTTGTCGATCTCGTTTACGATTAGAATGTTGTAATATGCTTCTAGCTGTTTGCAAATGGCTAATGGGTTGACGACGACGTTCTTTCTCAGCAAGATTATGACGAATACGGAAGACACAAATGAACATAATCGAAGATGGAAGAATACAAGACGCCATAGTTGTGAAAATACTATGATAAAGTGATCCAGCAATGTTATTTAAAATACCACAGATACCTGCACTTAGATTATACAGTACGAGTGCATGAACTGGCAAAATCAACCAAATAAGCACAATTATTCCTACGACACGACGTGCTACATAAATTCTTGCGAATTGCCGCAAACGTATATTTGTCGAGGAAAGCAAATAACGATCAAAACAAGCGGCAGTGAGTGACCAGCGGTATGTTAAAGCAACGAATTGATTGAGATAAATACGTAGCTTGCAAAAGGTCACGTTTGTGATAAGTGGATCCGGATGATCTAATGCGTACATAGTTGAGCTCATTCCTAAACCAAGATTCAGTATCATTGCTACGGATGCCGCCAAGAAATCTATTCATATATTAGATCAAAGAAATAGACAATTCTGTTTGTTTGATATTCTATACGACTTACATGTACAGCAGGATATTGTGCGAAATTTTTGTTGAGTAAAAAGAAAAATATTGAGACAACATCCGGTAACACCGAAGACAAAGTACAGGGAATAAAGGTAACGTACGATCTGTTGTTGAATGACAGGTAAGATGGTGACCAATGACGACATTTCATCAACTGAAATGATGCCAACCGATTCTTATGGTAGTAGGGTCCTGAATGAGATAAATAAGTTTTTTTTAATCTCTATGATACTTTCAAAGCGGGATGAAAGAGAGATAAAAGATAGAAAAATAGCATTTAATATTCCTGTTGCGTTCATAATATCTGGAATAATTTATTAGTTTAAAGTCAAATGAAAGCATCTAGATATCCGTTTTTTTTCAAAATAAGTTTTTAGGTTGGCAAAAAATGGTTTCTAAATTCTTTTCTTCATGCAATTAAAAGAGTTTAAGTGTTAGAGGATAGTCAACATTTTTCTATTTTGATCAGGAGAAAATGCATTTTAATATAAAATGATTGAACTATTCTGCACGATATAGTATTTCGCTCAGAATATAACCGTAATCTTTTAGAATAAATGAATTCACAGTTTTCTCGTCATTACTAATTATAATATTTAATACAGATTGCGGATCGAAAGAAGATAAAAGATATTAATTTCACTCTTCTTCATTTATTAAACGTGTCAGGGAGGACATACCAGAGCAAAGTTTATAGGAGCAACAAGTCGATTATCATGGATAGTTCATATTGGGAAAACTATACTAAAATCTAACAATCGTACAAGTTCAATTTCCGTAATATTCTAGTTGACTATACTCATTATGTCGATTATTTATTTAATAATATTTTTTTCGATGAACAGAAAGAAAAATAATTGAATGATACATCGTTCATTGATCTTTGTAAAAAAAAGGAGAGCCTGCCGTTTGATTCGTTACCAGTCGAATTGATTGATCGAAGTCTCGATAGTTTTGAGTCCAGACAGGTCTCCTGGTCATTTCACAGTGCCTACAAAAGATTTAACTCTATCGTCAATACACATCTTTCATACACCGTAAGCGTTTTAATGAATTATTAGTTTGAAGAAGACAAACGGTTCCTATAGAAATATTTCACAACTAGTGGTGATTGATCGTCCGCATTTTATTTTGACTGTCATGTTCTGCAATAAGCTCAATCTATCTTGAGAAAAATCTGCTACTGAACACATTCAGATTTATTGTTCTTCTATAAACGTAAACAATTGACACGTTAAAACTCGGATTCAATGGAATCAAAGATGCTCGCGCACAACATCTTGCTGTTTTCTTACAGAATGATACAATTATTCTCATTTCACATTTTATCTCTTATCTCTCTTTTCATACATATGGCATACTAACAGAGTCATTTTGATCTTGTTCTTCTTTCTCAATAACACTTTTCCCTACATACACATAGACACTCACCGAACTCAATCTTCAGAGAAATGCTATTGATGTTATCGACACACAAGCACTTTGCTGCAGCTTTATAAACGAATTTGGTGATTCGGACCATTATTATTGTCGCCCCTCTATTGTAGTTTCCTATACAATAAATAATCGCAACATTACATCTTCAATTTAATGAAGCCAGAAATGCAGTAATTCGTTTTTGACGATTCCATGTCTTCTGACTTTTTATTCTGCTTCATTTGTCGACACTGAAAACATTGATACTTGGAAGTAATCAAATCGAAGATATTGGTGCTCAGTTGTTTGCCTATGGATTGCTAAACAACGCAGTAGTTCGAATTTTCTTTTCATCTCTCTCATTTTTTTCTTTTTGTTGTTACAGAATAGACACTCATTATATTAGATCTTGATTACTGTGGAAGCGGATCTATTGACGTAGTAGATCTTGTTGATGCATTACAAAAGAATACAGTACTTCCCATTGTTTCTGTGAGCAGCACATCGCTTTTCGCTATGTAAATACTCATCAAGTTGAACCTTTCTCGAAATCCTATTTTAAATGAATATGCAAAGCTAGTGAAACCGCAGAGTAGTATAGGAGAAAATCTTGATTCTGTACAGACTGCTTTGGTTTATGTGAAATTGTATTTATTTTCAAACTTGAAGTGCTTTGAGACTTGTTTTACGTTTGATGAATTCAAATCTACACAGGAGTAGTGAAAACAAAAGCATTTTATCTTTCGTTTGTAATGAAAAACAAATTTAGAACGGACGAAACACTTCAACATTCATTCTTTTTTGTTTCGTACCGCAAATACAGCGTAACTTACAATTATCGAATTTCATTCTGATAAGACGGTCTGTGGTATGATAATATAACATCGGCGAAAGTTTCTCATGAGTCTCATTTCAGAATATTCAAAATGACGAATTACAATCCAATCGATGTGATCAACAAAGAAATCGGTTCTGAAGAATGTCGACGATTGCTCGCGAAAGTCGACAAAATGCGAGAAATCCTGCGACAGGAGAAATTTTCTCTGCCGCAAATCGTCGTCGTTGGTGAACAATCAGTAGATTTATTTCATTAAG